ATGAAATTTAGCAATGTTTCAATATTATATACATATATATAAAATTTAGCAATGTTTCACTAAAGCAAATCTTATTTTTCCACAGTACTCTACTATACTTTAACTGATCAGCTTTATAGATTTGACATTGGATGGTAAGTATGTTGCACATGATGAATGACCACCTCTATGAGTATGTAGAATACCACCAGAACTTTTCTGCATATGATGCATGAGTCATAATCATTTGATGTTTAATAGAAGTAAAGCTGCATTTCACATCAGATTCAAACTGAAATTCGGACTGCGAACACCATGCGTCCCTATTCTTACACACTGATTGGATTTTCTGATCGGTTCGGTAGGTCTTTCTATCCGAAAATTTGAATTCGCTGTGAATGCACCTGGTGGTACTTTCCAGTTAATTTATTAGTGTAACAAGTGTGGTGTAATGGCAGGTCACAGTTAATATCTCCCATTGTTAATACTTGAATTGGGAAGAAAAACTTCTGTTAGTACAGTATGTTTGGTATTCTCAAGTATATTAAATGCTTGCAGTACATCGCATGCAGTAGGTGTCTACAGTGTATGTGGTGGTCCGCAAGCATTTAATATATCATTACATCGCCATGCTAAACCTTCAAACAATATTCTCAAGTAACCTTTAAATCTCTCAAATAATTCTGTCTCACTATTTGGTGGTCGATACCACACTGAAAGCAAGATCAGTTTTTACTTAAACGGAATCATTTTAAGTGTGATTAGTTCTAATTTTGAGTACATGAGATCTTTTCTCAATTTGTGAGTATGTCTACTTTTTTGACTGATATAGATTCCAACCCCTCCCCATCTCTGTTTATATCATGTCTATTATACTATAAATGTTATCCCTCAATTGCAATTTTATTGTCCTATATGGAAATTACAATGAGAACATTTCAAGTCATTAAAAATTCACAAAACAAAATACTAGTTCCATATCAATATACATTACAATATTTTGTTAAAATACCTAAAGCAATTCCATTTCAAACAGACAGCATCAATATAGAGTACAATTAAAGCACTAACATAAGACATCAAGATAGTAATTTATTAAAATTTGGCCTTATTGATTCTGCTCAGCCTAAACATATAGTAAATCCTCCCCAGTTGCTGATTATGAAATGATTATACTTCCTTTAATATTTGCTATCTACCAGCACACTTGGCAGTGTACACATTTTGTTAATTATAGTGGTTGATTGAATAAAGTTAATATCTAACAAATGCCAACTCTGTACTGTGGTTTGATCTCTATCACTAATGTAGTTTAATTTCAACAAGCTTCAGTATCTTAAACAATTAACCTGCGATCGTATCTCCCATAATCCATTTCAGTGTGCAATCAGCAGAGTAAAATGATTTCTAATATAGTACCTTAAAACATTAAGATGCAACAGATCATTTGCATCCCATATCATGTTTGATCCCTCTCAGTATTTAACAAGCTTTAATGTCCTGTCCAGACCATCAAATTTAATTTATTGGACAAAAAACTGCTGTATGCCCATATACAGGCATGATGTGCCCATATACAGGCATGATGTGCCCATATACAGGCATGATGTGCGTATATTTGGTCTTGATGTAATGTTATCATGACCATATTTTGGCATGCCAATGTAGGGCTTTATAAAGTAAACCATGAAGCAGCTAAGATCTTTTAAATTTTGAATCAAATCTCCCATAATCGAAATGATAATATTATGTGTTTTATCTGTTACCATGCTAATCTCTTAAATCATTCTGCATTCAATTATAATATAGAATGGAACAAACATCCCAGTCCAGGTCAAAGCTTGGAGGACCAAGCATATGCAGGACAATAAATATACAATTATAATATGTCTTTTTTGTTTAATGTGTAGGTTTCTGACATCTCTGTCACCATATATGTGGGCTAACTTGGGTATAGCATCGTCTATATCATTTTCAGTTGTGGGAGCTGCCTGGTAAGTAAACGAAAGTCTACATTTAGACTTTTTTGACATTTCTTATCTAAATTTGGTTGGATACTTTAATACTATGTGTTCTATGCATCAAATAACAAATGAAACTGTTTAAATGCTTTATGACTTTTGATCTACTAACTTATAGGTCTTTAGCTTTAAAATGACACCAAAAGCCAGCTAAGTAGATACTATAACTTACAGACATACCTTATCGCTGAATAGTTTGTCAGACCTCACTAATTATAAGGGTCTAATGCAAAAGTATTCAACTGTTTGATTCTCATGATGTATTTTCTTATTTACATTTCAGGGGCATATTTACAACTGGAACAAGTATTGTAGGTGGAGGTGTAAAAGCACCTCGTATAAAGACAAAGAATCTTATTAGGTATTTACATGGTCTTTTTTATATGTGTAATTCTTTGAATAAATTAGAAGAGGCTTCCCAAAAATGATTTTTGGATCTAAGGGGAATTTTTTACTACATCATATTATCAGAATAAACTTTATTATTTAGTTGCAGGCTTTTAAAATTTACATTATCTACTCCTTTGAAAAGCATGATGTCACTGTAATATACCTTTTTTGACATATCAAAGTCCTATGCTTAACAACAGTGCATGGTCTCAGTTGCATAATGTAGGCTCTTTGTCATGTCATCATGGAGAAATATATTACTTTTTGTACTGTAGGTGCAACTATGTAATATTTTAGAAAATAATGTACTAATTTTATGTTTAGGTTTTCTATGTTCAAGTAATTGGTGTACAATACAAGAGCAAAATTAGAACAATTTGAGCCTAAAATTGACAAAGCCTTAAAAAATAAATGAACAGTCTTAATTTACTTCCTATTAGAACATAGAATTAGTAGCCTTTCTCATTTAACATGTATTGGACCCACAGTTATTCATTATGTAAACAATAATTCTAACAATTAGATTGATTCTCAGAAATGCTTGGACTAAAATATCTGTTGTATATTTTTCCAGCATCATTTTCTGTGAAGCTGTTGCAATCTATGGCATCATTATTGCTATAGTTGTTTCAAATCAACTTGAAGCTTATGACACCTCAAGCACTGACCCAGCATATATAAAAAAGAATTACATTGCAGGTGAGCAGGAGCTGTTGTATTTATTCATTTATTAATATTTTATGGATACTGAAGTCTTATTTTCATTCATTAGATGCTAAGGTTGTATATTCATTCATTAGTGTATAGATACACTGGTCTTATATTCATTCATTTGTGTATAGATAGTGAGGTCTTATATTCATTCATTAGAGTATAGATACTGATGTATATTAATTCATTAGTGTATAGATAACACTGGTCTTATATTCATTTAATGGTGTATAGATACACTGGTCTTATATTCATTCATTTGTGTATAGATACAGAGGTCTTATATTCATTAGTGTATAGATACAGAGGTCTTATATGCATTCATATGTGTTTAGACACTGTTCATCCTATTTTAATTGTCATTGTACTTAAAAAAAATTTTAGCTCCGATGGGGAGCTCTAGGATTACCCTGCTGATTGATTGTTTGATTGATTAATAGATCTTCGTTAGGGTCACTACACTCTATTGCCTCTATTATACTGCCCTCATCGGAGCTTTCAAGATTACGAGAACTTGTTTCGTAAACACCAATTCAGTTTTAACTGTAATTTTGATTTAGTAAAGTATTCTTTAATAATGCATAAATACTAAGATTATATTTTCATTCATTAGTTATTGCAGTCACAACAGCATGGTACTTAGAACGAAGCAGTGTATTTATGATTGATTCATTTATTTATTTATTTACCAAATTTCTATAGCGCCCTTTTCATGAATAATCATGTTCAAAGGCGCTTTACATTAAGAATACAATAAATTACCCAAAATATACAAAATTGAGAATAGGCCTATCTAAAATTCATGACTTGATTGTTTAAAACAGTTATAAAAACACACAGTTACAGTTATTCATTTCTTTTAAGGCTATGCTATGTTTGGAGCTGGACTCACTGTTGGATTTTCTAACTTGTTTTGCGGCATCTGTGTTGGAATCGTGGGAAGTGGTGCAGCTTTGGCTGATGCGCAGAACTCTTCACTCTTTGTTCGAGTTTTGATTGTTGAGATCTTTGGAAGTGCTATTGGACTATTTGGAGTTATCATAGGAATTCTGCAGGTGAGGACAATTGATTTCAGTATCTTTCATATCAACACAAAAGAATTTCAAAATTTGTATAATAAATACATTATAGCTACAGAGCTGAGTGCGAAAACAAAATTAATTCAAAGTACTTTGAAAACTGTTATGAGGGCAGAGTGGATGAAGGTTATAAGAGACCTTACACAGGAAGATTCAAAAGATCCAGACAAAATAATCAAAGCATGTAGACGTAGACGACCAGCATCTGAAGCAAACCATATTTTGTTTCTAAAACCTATGGGGTTGCTAATATATATTGGTGGGTCACTAACTTGATAAAAATCATCAATAGCTAGGACAAATTTTCTTAGACATAAGCTGGGTATGTGCATCATATTTAGTATCGTTATTGTTATAAGATAATGATTGATCAATAATAACTTTGTTTAATATCCAATGTGTACCGTAAATTTTGAGACTGTAGTAGTTGTAGTAATGCTTATGTAAAGCCCTCACCAGACTATCAAATATATTTGACAATAACATGTGACATGCCTAAATATGGTCATGATGACATCATCATGACCATATATAGACACATCATGACTATATATGAACATTCATTTTTTTTTGTCAAAGAAATTGTTATAATGTGGACAGTGCTTTAAGTGTACAGTAGGTGAAGTGTTTCTCTTTTTCTTTTTTTTATAGACTACAAAATTTGGATTTGAGGCAACACCTACATGAAAGAAGCAGGAAGCAATTTTATTACAAATCATATAGGATTTTAGAAAATAATTATTGGTTTTGTCTGTGGTAAATAAATAATCAAATAATAAATATTAACATGCTCAAGTATTTGATAGATAATCAAGTTTAAATAGTTTTGGTGAGTTTCTATTTCTCAATTTTCCTCATGTCAAGGTTATTGTTAAAACCAAGGTCCGGAGGGAAAAACATTGATATGTTAGTAAAAATCATGTATTATGGGCTATTGTGTAAATATACAATATTATAAATATTATTGAATATAGGATTTTGATTTATATGGATGTTTAAACTTAAATTTACAGTACTCAGTTAAACAGTTTGGGTGGCTAACAGATGTTTTACCATTCCATCAAAAAACAAATTGTTATCGTAAGGAAATGTGTGTATTATTATTGTTGATTTCCACTGCAGAATGCATTGTTCAGTAGTGCTATGACAATGGTATTTCTCAGGTCAGGTGCTACTGACGTTAATTAACAATTATTTGTAAGAGG